CCAATATTTTTGGCAGTTTCACAGCGATCCAATAGCGCATTTCAAGGACATTGAGCACCCTGTATTGGTTACAGTAGAAAATTGAAAGTTGGTATAGATGTTACAAATATCAAAAGGAAAAAAGCTAAGGGGGTGTCCCGTATTCTAGGATGAAATTTTTCCCCCATACAAAAATTGCACCACTCTAATGTACATACATACATATTGTACGAAGTACTTAGTTATTAATGAAGTTTTTTAAGTGCAATTTTGTTTAGAAATATTCTCGACCAGGGCTGGCACTATCACCAGAAGAATTACATCGATAAGACTTGCAATGATACAAATGAAATTTTTATCAAACCAGTTGAAGAATGATACAAATAATTACATCACTTTATTAGATTTCAGATAGTGATTGCGATTTTTCTGTTGCCATATAATTTTTGTACTTGCATGCACATATCAATATGTATGTATACTGCCGGGAAAAATTATTGGCACAGCGAATTTCGCAAAATATATTCACCAATTTCTACTCTAATATTTTTCGGCTAATTTTTTATAAAAATATGGTTCATTCTACAACAAAAAACACAAAAATATAACTTTTAAACTTTGTGCACAACTCGCGAAAATTCAATAAATTTTCATGCAAATTTTCATCTTACTCAAAAAAATCATTAAAAATCTGATTCAAAAGTTGAAAATTTGCTGAGTTTTGCACAAAGTTTAAAAACTATATTTTTTTTGTCGTGCAATGAACCATATTCTTAAAAAACAATGTCGAAAAAATATTACAATACAATTTTTTGTATCTATTGTAAAAAAGCAGTTGTGCAAATACTTTTTGACGGCAGTGTATATGCATATGTACCTAGCGCAGACATACTTGCATTAGCTTTTGCGATCGATTACGCGCAATGAGCAGACAGCAGGCAATCAGTCAATAGGTTCACTGACGTAAAAGCGTAAGGCGTGTTGCATGTAAATGAAGCTGTTAATAAATATTTGCCAAAAGCAACAAATACATTTGCATAAATAAATATTTTATAATCAATTGTAGTTTGTTTGCAGAGAAATTATGAATTTAAACGGAAATCTATGTAAATAGAAATGATTCTTCTGAGAAGCAATTCGTAAGCGCTTGCGAGGAGTTAATGACGTACTTATGAGTGTTGATGCAATGAATTTGTGTTTCCTGTGCACGCGTATGCTTATTGTTGTTTATTGGATGTACTTATAATGTTTACACACTTATTTGCTTACTTAAACGTGTAAGTTTTCCTAAGAGATTTTTTGTTATGCAAATTTTGCACACACAATTTGAATTGTTTTTATTTTCTTCTCATCTGCATTTTATAGGACTTCGAAATACAGGAAGTTAAATGTTAATAGATAACTAAACATCTTTATAAAAAAATGAAATGATCTTCTAATAACGATTCTTTATAATGTGATGCAATATTCATAAATATAGACATACATACATACATAGTATGCAGTATTCCTATGACAACGGAAATGCTTAACTTTTTATAGGGCACACTTTCGAGAAGAAAATACGATCATTTAAAATTTTGTTGAGTTCCACTCGAACTTGAGCACTTTCTGAGTATTATTTACTCATGATAAAAATATGTTTTTAAAGAGCATGTGTTCTATCGATCTTTTTCGTCTTAGACAATAACTCGAGATTTCCGCGCAACTTTTTTGTTATTGCAGTACAACCTACTATTAAGCTTTGTTTTTTTTTGTATTTATTAGGAATGTAATAATTACCGTATTTTATATTTTTTTATTACCATTTTAAAAGCTACATACATACACATTTACGTAAATATGTAAGAGATCATGAGCAAAAGTTATTATTTATTATGATATATAATTAAACAAGCTATAAAATGGCTTCATCTAAAACGAAAACAAGTTTACTAAGTAAATTATTACAGCATTTTGCACTAGCTAGATTGGTTTGAATGAATGTTTCTTTTTTTAGTTTTTTAATGAAGAAAACTGTACTACGAACTGACTGACGAGGCCCAGAGGTTCATAAAATAACCACTTGGAACACAGCTGCCGGACGCGGACGAGACAGAACTTCGTCTGTCTCGGTAGACTCGCATCACCATATCCCAACTTCGCTCTGGATACTGCAGCAGGTTAAACTCCAACCTGAGTAGGATAAATCCAGATGTACCCAACGAGTGCCGAGCATGCGGATAGACACCCCGCCGCTACAACAACAACAACAACATCCCGTTCGACTTCTGCTCCAAGTCGGAGCGGCACACTTCCTGGGCCTCCCGTTAGTTGAGCTTGACGATAACGACTGAGTGACGAGCCGATCTTGAAAGGGTAAATACAACAAAAACGGCATACTCAAAGATGTTTAATTATAAATCCTTAGAAAGCAGTGGTGGGAAAATTTATATAGACACCACCTATTACAACAATTTTGCCTATTTTTCTTTTGTTTATTTAATATGTATATCTTACTTTTTATAAAAGTATATGTAGCTCATTATTCAACAAAATTGTGCAAAAGTTATAATAATTCTGCAAAATAGCATCTAAATTTTGAACATTTTAACCAGATACATACATATGTATATATGCAGTTTTATAGTCCATTAAATTTTAGTAGAATAAAGTGTAAGTTTTAAGTTGCTAAAAAATCGCGATAATTTTGTTCACGCATTTGCTTCCATACAAATTACTTTCGACATTTTTATTATATGGTAAAAAGTGAATGTATTACTCAGAAGAATATTATCAAAAATCAACGCAATTAATTAGGAGCTTCAAACTTGAATTCATTATAGTAAAATTTATTGGGATAAAAACTGCATATTCAGAAAAATTCTGCAAAATCTGGTTAAAGAGTTGAAAAGTTACATTCTTTTTATAGGTTTTTAATAATTTTTGCACAAAGTTCGAAATATGAATTTATATGGATTTTATTAGATAGTAAGCCATACTTTCATAAAAACCAATAAGGAATATTAAATAAACAAAGGAAAACTAACAAAAATTTGTTAAACTGTCGTGTGTCTTTTAATTTTTTCACCACTGTAGGTGGCATTCTGTAAAATACTTAGTACAAAATTATAATTATAGCAGTACTTAATCAAAAAGGATTTTCAAAAAATATTTAGGGGGACTACTTTCTTACAGTTCGGTACGAATGGTCATCGGTTGATAGAGAACATTCATTTTTCCTTAACATTTCAACGCTACTTCATATTCTGAAAAAGGAATATCAGCAGGAGACCAATTAACGATTCTGATTTCAAATGGAAATATACTATGGGTTCAAACTAGAGCTGGGACTGTCCGTATATTCGTGCATACGGATAAAATCCGAATATCCGTTCTCTTTTGTTGTCCGGATATCCGACTAATATCCGTTAATTTTGCTACCTGGATATCAGACAATTTTGCTAGACAGATATTCGGAACTTTTAATCAGATAGAAATTAAATACTATACGGATCATACGGGCCCGAGTTCAAAGCTTACTTTTCAAATAACGCTGCATATTTTTAGGCGCAGGACAAAAAAAAAAAGATTCTACATAACAAGTGTTTTATTAAAGCATCATAATAATAAATATTTACTATGGACATGCATGTGCAATTAAGAAATATTTATTAACTTAGCATTTATAATGAATGATAATGTTGATACATACTTTTTAAATGCTTACCTTTAGCCAATTGTGATTTCAGCATCTTGTTATCGTCTTGCATATCGTTGACACCAATATTACCCAATCACACTCTATCTACGCTGAAATTTCGCAACACTTTTGTTCGTTATAAATATAAGAAAGCGTAACTTTTAGTTAACAACTGAGCCAAGCTAAAGCTACCTGACCTTTTCCCGAACCGGCGCGTGGCTAAGTATATGATGTGAATACCACAACACTAACGGCAATATATCTATAATCCACGGTGATGACGTTATAACTAAACGAACACACGTACGATGGTATGGCCAAAAAGATTTCACAAACAAATAACAAACAATAATCACAAGCTTAATGAAGAAATCATGTATATAAATTAATTAACGCGCACATATTACTTCTGGTTGTTGGAATATATTGGTTATTTTTATATGAAGCACAGCTGGTATACGGTGAATTCCAAAGCACTTTAACAAATGACGCCAGTCTCTTATCAACTGGAGCAGAGAGAATGAGTGATTCACCGTGGCGTGTTTGCTAATGTGTAGTCAAGTGCTTTTCTTTTTTATTAGTTTATTTGGCTCTCTAGGTTTCTTGTTGCTCCTTGGTTTAGTTGGCACTAATCGTAGATGTGTACATAGGTAGGCTTTTGCCGTATATATGTTTATTGCCCACTCAAGGATGCGGTTGATCTGCTGATCTGGGTAGATGCGTTCAAGGTTAAGTCCTTGCAAGTAATCGATGCGTGAGCGTCGTTAACAGTTGCGTGTGATTTTTTTGCTTACAATTTTCACAAATTTTCATTGGTTTTCTTTATGCCGTGAGAAAAACTTTCACAATCAAATCACATCAACTTCGCGTTTTCACTCGCCACCCACGAATTTTCGACCAAAAGGAAAAATGCGATGGCGTTTAGTTGCAGTTGACAGCTAATCTGTAGTTTTGTTTTTCCATTCTCATTCATATGGCAGTGTTCATTATAGTTCCAGGGTTGTATAAAAAAAATTAAATTTTTTTTTTTAATCCAAAGTTACTCTCTCGTCCTAATTAAAACGACAAATTAATATCCTTCTGTATTTTTTATTATTAAATGATTTTATATTTCAATTTAATAGAATTAAAGCGAAAGGAGATTATGATGAATTTTAGCATCCTGCTATTCATTATTTCTTAAATAACTACTATGACATGCAACTCTGCATGTTTGAAAACGAGTGCGTCAGTTGAATAATAACAAAAATAGCACAAGGAGGACGTAATTTCTAGAGACAATAAACAAAACGCAATTAATAACAATTTCGATACTAAAATATAGAAAACTGCAAATTAAATGCATTCTGCTGCTTCGACCCCAACGAGGTCACCTGAATCTGACCCCAATGCCAATAGAAGCACTGCGAGCAAATCGGATGAGTTTGAGGATGAGAACACTCGTAGTTTTCCCTATCCTGCCTGCTGGAAGGATGATGCACGAATGAACGTCTTATTGGCACCATTCCGTCCGCGCGAGGTAAACCCTGAAAACTACGAATCGAAATTGAAGTTCTGGCAAGACATGATTGCTCAATACTGCGAACACACCGGTACTGGTTGCTTCTGCAAACGCGACTTGCAGTTGGTGTTTGCAAGAGGAGATCGTATACCATATGGCTTAGACACGGTGATGACAGAAATGCTGCAGGCCAAGAAAATACGCATCCGTGCCGATTATGCATATGACCCGGAGAATACCTGGAGTGGTTGGGCGATGAATAGTTTTTTAATACGCCCTATTTCATGGGGCTGGCAGACATTGAAAAGTAAAATGGGACTGCAAGCTCAAATTGACGCAGGACTACTTGAGTATGTGCATTTGGAGGTGATGAAGGTAGGCGAGACGCTACCATATAGCGGTCAGAGTATTATTTTATATTTTCCTTCTTAGAAATTCTGCAAACTACTACAACAAAGTGTGCTGCAACAGCACCAGGGTGAGTTGCTACACTACGATAATTTCGTGGAAATCTCGAACGCTGTATTGGCGCTCAAAGAAGACTGTTTACTTTTATGCTTGCACGTGCTGAATTGCCAACGAAAAATTGGACTGGAATACAAGGTGGAGGAAAAAGAACAAAAAATACATCTAATCAAAATACCTTGTGAGTTTAACATGAAGTAATAAATGAACGTTATTATAATTAAACCATTCACAGCCCAAAATGATGCAAGTATTGCCATCACCGAGACTGATCGTGCTGTTCACAACCTGAAAATGACGCAAGCAAGTCTGCTAAAACAACTGGAAACTTTGGAAGAAGATATCAAGGTAAACGAGGAGAAAGCGCGCGCATACCTAAAGGAGAACAAACGCCAATTGGCAAAGACTTACTTGCGTAAAAAGCACTTGATGGAGAAAAATCACGGTGAGTTCAATTAAAAACGCTACAATATTTAAAACTAAACAAATGTATTTCTTTCAGAAAAACGTAGCTCTGCACTACACAACATTGAATCGCTCATCACCAGCGTAGACGAAGCACAAAGCCATGGCCAAATACTCGATGCCTACAAGATCGGTTCAAAAGCGTTGCAGAAAGCGCTCAACGACTCTGGGCTCAAATACGATAACGTCGATGAAATTATCGCTGATGTGCGCGATACCATGGAGACGCATCAAGAAATACAAGACACGTTGGCCAATGCTAATCTTACCGATATTGGAGCAGGAAGCGCTGATTTGAATGACAACGATGCATTGGAGCGCGAATTACAGCAAATACTTGGACAAACGGGACAAACGCCTGTCAAACAAACAATTACTGATGCGAACAGCAACGAGAAGGTAGCAAAAGCTACACCTATCGCCCAATCCAAACCAACCGCGAAAATAACCGATGCCGAACTTTTAGCAATGCTCGAGGGACTTGGTGTAGAAGATGACTCACCGAAAAAAAGCGAAAAGAGTGCTCGATCTGCAGTCGCTGAATGAAAGGGTTGGAATGGGTCAACCGAAGTTGTACTAATTTGACAGCTATTTTACGTGTATGTTCAGAATGATTGTTTAACTAAATTGTTGGTCGTTTCCATTGCGGAGGAAGGCTCACTACTTAAATTACTCGTATTTATTTTATTAACAGTTTAGGTGAAATGTAAAACACATTGATAAAATATAGTATGCAAATGAAAATAAAGTTTAGCATAAATTAAAACCAGACCGGTTGGAGTTCTATTTATAGTTTCTAGTTTCATGTTTATTTAATGTAAATATACCCATACAATATTACACACATTACGTTAATTCAAGTTTTTCTGTTTCGTTTAAATCTATGTATACATACTTAAATTTTATACGAATACAAAAACCTACTCATTAAATTGCATTTGATGAGTACTTCACTTGGTAATTTAACCTTTAACAACTTATAGATAGTTTATTCAGATTGCTTTTCACTGCAAAAAAGTAACGAATTTCTTTTGTCTTGTTTTGCCATTTAAACGGGTTATTATCTATACCCCCCCCCATCTCATTTTGAATTATAACACTTTATCTTAAAAATGTGTAAATCCGTTTTAGCGAAGATTAGTTTTCGAGTTTATCAAAAAATTATGCAGTTTTCAGGAATATATTTTGTTTAAATTTCTTGGACCTTACAAAGATCTTATAAAAAAGCTTAGTGAGGCTTACTTTATTAAATTACTGAAAAACTGATTCATTACGGGAACTCATGAATACAAATTTAAATCTAATACAAAATATTAATTATTTTAATTTTGTACGGAGGCGAAACTGCGTTTTAATCTTTGCTCTATTTATTTATGTATGTTCTATGAAAGCCTAATTTCTTTTAATACTATTAAATTTTTATTTATTTTTGACGTGAAATTTGTTTAGAAAGAATTATTTTTCAAAAAATTCTAAAAAAATTTTCGGTTATTAACTTTTTTACTACAAAAAATATTCGAGAAAAAGAAGCTTAAAAAGGCAAAACACATGCAATTTAGTATTTTTTTTTTTTACTTTTAAAAGTTAATATTATTTTGTTCAAAAAGATTTTTTTTTTTGAAAACTCCTTTTCGAATATTTAAATACAACCCAAATCAAAGCATTCGCCATTGAGTGCAACTCCACGGTGGAAGCCGCCGTGCTAGTTAACCAGTTGGCAGAAGAGGTGATCTGCAGGAAGCGACGAAAGGTTGGATCGTACAAGTACTGCTTGCTTATAATTCTGGACGTAAAGAGTGCGTTTAATACTGCAAACTGGGAAAAAGTACTCCATGTCCTTCAGAAGTTTGAAGTCCCAGCTAACCTTCTGAAGATTATAAGTAACTATGTAGGTATCTGTCGGACCGGATATTAATTTACCAAACACATGATGGAGCCATAAAATATAATCAGCCTCATTGCGAGAGTCTTGCCGAATGCAAGTCGTTTTTCGAGAGTCGAATCGTATCGAAAATTTAGCGCCATTGCCTAAAATTTCCACTCGACTAGTGTATTAAAACGGAAAAACTTGGCAGCACTGCATAGTTTTCGACAATTTTCGTCGTTTACTTATTTCAGCACGACAGTAGACAATGCTAATGTTGTCGAGTCGTACAATTCAGCCTAATTTACGACTTACGCAATGAGTCTGAATATATCCGGTGGCGTGCCACAAACATCCGTTTTCGGTTCAACACTTTGGAATGCAACGAACGGCAGTGTTCTGCGATTGGAGCTGTCAAAAGGTGCCAAAGTAATCGGATTACGACGGCGTTCTGCGACTGCCAGTTTGCCGATAAATAGCGCACTGCGACAAGTAGGTCTATTGTGCCCTCAGCTCATCACAGCACTACATTTAGCCCTAAAGACTCCATCAATTTCAGAATAGATCCCGAGCGTTGAGAGTGATCCATAGATGTCCCATGCTCTTCTCCCTTCTCCGTGAAATGGTCCCACATTCCAGAAGGAGGTGCAGTGAAGTCTCTTTGATGGAGTCACAAAAGCGACATAGATGGCTTGACCAATTCCTTGCTTTACCTCAACGGAGGCTCTGAAGTACATCGAAATTGTTGTCAATACTGGGCTGACTTTACGGTTGGAAACATAAAAAAGTTACCGAGGGGCTCCCAAGGTTACTACTTATTCCGCTTCGCGGAGTAACGATAGTTTCCCGGAAGTAGGGAAACGGACGGAGGGGGGGGGGGGGGGGAGAGGGGTGTGTTTGTGGTCCTTCCCAATTTTGACGAAGCTGGTGGTATTGCTCAACGTAACTTACACAGCCGTATTAGCATCGTGGAGGTGCAGTACAGCTAACTCCTTCTCGTGCTTGCGTTACTAGCCCTAACTCCGAACTGATAAGACACAATCAGTTCTTTGAGCCTTGAGTTAAGCCTTGGCACAATATGCCTGATAATACTTTACACGATTTTTGGAAATTTTAGTGGCGAAATTGCTATTTGCACCTCGCCGTAGTCGGGTGGTGTGACATCGGTTCTATCGGCTGGTGCCACGGGGTCATCCTCTCAACAGTTTTCAGTACTGTTACTTTCAATAGTATGGAAAAACATCGGCCACAAGGTTGCCGTGATAGTCCATAAAGGAAATCGCTTTAGTCTTGAAATCTTTCGTAAGTCGCCTCAATTTCTGACAAAATTGTAGTGACTATTTTTTGTTGTCGGCTATACTACGGGAGATACATCTTTAGGCAACCTAGGAGAGACTTAGCGTCAACGCAGAAAATACAGATTTGTTACTCTTTGCCAAGAAATACAAGGCTCCGAGCTGGTGCGACCTTGCGGCTGGAGCAAAGCATCAAGTAACGCGAAATAATATTCCTTAACAAGATGTAGTGGTGCCTCAATGTGGAGGAGAGGGCTCAAGACTACGGGGTAGTTTGTATGCAGGTGCTACGGACATCTTAGCATAGTGTCAACTTTAGCCGGGCGGATTGACTTAAGATCTCGGATCTGCAGTTTGGGATGAACTTTAAAGCTACTTTATAGGCTGAAGGCTCGCGTGCGGACTTGAGGATCGCTGGCTCGGTGAATGTATACTTATACAGACGGGTCGAACGTGGAGAAAGACCTAGAGGCAGCAGTCTACCGCAACATTTTTCAGCCAGAAATATTGGCCATAAAGAGTGCGACGGAGCTACTGAGCAGCAATTTGGCTGCGTTAAAGGCACTACCATAGTACAGCATTTCATCTAGAAGAGTGGCCAAGTGCAGGGCAGCTTTGGATTTGTTACATATTGGTACAGACGTACATACATATGTACTGGGTTCCGGGGCACACCGGTGTCACGGACAACGAGGAGGCCGACAGCCTTGCCATAGAAGGCGCTCTGTCGCCTGCTGATAGTGAAAGTGCCGCTTTCCCCGAAGCGATTAAACTGCAGCTTAATCTATCAATGATCCGGAAAGCGCTGAATGTCTGGACCAAAGCACAAGCTTAGATAGTCTCCAGGATTATGTGCAGAGGGTTTGACGCTAGGCGTTCTAACAAGGCATTGCCTGCTGGCGCCCTTTTAAACTGGCTCCGATCAATTATAAAGACCGTTTGAAATACAGAACAAAAGAGATAGCGGCGGAATATCTCCTGCGATTACACTGTCATTAGCAGATTGCCTCCTAGGAGTAAGATTTCTGCCTAATCTGGAGCCGCCACCAAAATAGAGTAAAACAAGGTGTTACAGTTTGCCAAGAGGACTGCGTTGTTCTTCAATACAACTGCTGATTAGCTGTCTAATGTGGTCTTAGTTTATCTGCCACGCATTGGCTAGCCAGCTAACCGAGCCTAACCGAGCCTAACCTATCCTATCGACCAGAATTTTAAATTCTACACACTTAAGTATTTCAGACTCACTCTTTTATTATAGCGAATATGTACATCTAGCTTTACTTTTGAGCGCAATGTTTCCACCTACGGTGACCATCCGTCATGTGTTGTGCGGGACAGTCCCTTTTTTCGTAAATTTTCCTAGTAATTTATATATTTTATAAGCGACGCCAATGTTCTGCATGTATCCCGTATTCAGTGTTCGGTATTTCGACGCCTTAGAAAAATTATAATATTTTGGCCGACCCGCTCCTCCAATTTGTGGTGTGCGTCCTGATGTTATAACATACTAAATGCAGGGACCTACAATTTTACGCTGCCTCCGAACGGCAAATAGTTTTATGAGAAGCTTTTTCAAGGCTGAAATACACTCGGAGGTTTGCCATTGCCTGCCTAAGGGCGGCCGATGCTAGAAAAAACGTTTTTGCTAATTTAGATGTTGCACGGCCCAAGGAACGAACCCGGGTTCTGGTTCTGGCGTGATAGTATGCATTTTTAACCACCCAGCTACAATGACGCCTTAACAGCTCATAAAAATTAGATGCCTATGAACCAGTTTTAAGTAATGTTAATATGAGTTCGTAACATTCCCCATATACAGTTTTTATTTTTAAATGTGGACGCTTGTGATTTGAATCGAATAATGCGTTGAATACTCGTGCTTCACAAGTAGTCGGTTTTAAGATCTGTTAGCGTTTGTGGAGAAAATTTGCAAAATAAATTGTTAAATATGATCACCATAAGTATACCCATATAAAAATTTATAAAAACGTACTAATGATACTTCAAACATGTACAAAGTTTGAGAAAGTACTAAACAAATTAAAAATCACCAATTCAAAAACATCGCCAATTTTTCGTAAAATTTTCGTTTTTATTTATTGCACATGTACATAATTTCCAGCTACCATATACTGCAAAATTTTCAATTTTATGTTTATTTTATTGTAGTATTATTTATGTATTTAATTTGCTTATGTTTAAGATTTCAAATTTGATATTATTAATGTCATAATTTTTATATAGTATGTATGTTTGTATGTAGTAAATAACGAAAAAAAAATTAATTTTATACAATACAAAAATATGTGCTAAAAATATTTTATTTTTTATTATTACATACGTCTACGTTTTTATATTTAATATCAATTTACATTTAATTTTAATAGTAATTTTAAAACTAATACTATAACTTTAGGTATTTATCAGACAAGTTCTGCAATTCACTTCCGAGTGAATTTCAACCAAAGTCACATTGAATGGGGCTAAAATTAAGTCGGAATGGAATTGCAGAATCTGCCGACAAATGTTTGTATATATGTATATTGCTAGCTGTATGAATCGGTGCTTGATTAAAGGTAGACAATGTGTACGAGCGTGTTTCTATGTTACGATTGATTGATTGATTGATTTATAGGTTGTACATACCTAACATAAATACAAATGCATGTACTTCTGTCTATACACGCTTTAATGTAGCTTCCTCGCCATAGCTGATTGCTGACACAAGCAGAAAGCAGGGAAGATACCTATTACATTTAAATAGCCAAAAGCAGTCTTTTTGTTTTACCTCAAACTAGTTAGTTATGAATGCTACATACATAGATAGTAAACGAGCAGCATAGTGAAAGAAGTTATAAAATTATTTTTTTTATAGCTGTTATTTCCTTAGGGGTTTTTGTGTCAGTAACCAGCTGCTTACAGAAAATGTGTTTTTATGCTAAGTATTTTGTTTTGATAAGCTAAAAAGGAGTTTCACTTTATTATGCTTTATTTTATTTTATTTTATTGTGTTTTTTTTAATGCTATTTTAAATCATTTAATTTTGATTTATTAAATTTATTTTAAATTTTAAAACATTTTTTTTCATAGTTATTTATTTTTACTATTTTCAAGGGATGTCTAATTAAATTACATATTTTGTTTATTAAAATTTTTTCAATTTCATTTTACGCAGCTATTTGTTAAATGTTTTTCTTCTCGCTATAACTAGTACATTATCATATGCTGTGTTTACGCGTATATTAAATTTTTATTTTTTTTTTATTTTGGGCATATTGACTAGGTTCCGACAATTTCGCTTTTGTGCTTAAACCTTTACTGAGAAAATGTTAACAAAATTATGTAATATTATAAATACATGCTATAAATATTGTTGATTACTCATTAGGAGTTTCCATATCGAAGACTTCGCACACTATAAATTTCCAACTGATCGTTGAATGACCTGCGTTGCACTAAAATGGATTAAAAACGTTCTGTATATGTATTGTAGCAGCTGAAGAACACGAAATACTTAAGCGCCACGCATTCCCAACTCTTCTTAAGTCAAAGGAGATTCATCTAAACAAATGACCTTGAAGAATTTAATGATCTTGGCAAGTTTTAATTAAACTGTTGAATTTATGTTCTACCGAAGGGTAACTGTTAAGCCATGCAAGAGTCCTGATTGCCGCTTAGTTCTCAGAGTAGATATTTACATTTGATTAAGGGCCGCTTTTATAGTGGAGAGTTAATAATATCAATACAGAAGTTTACTTTAAATTTTTATTCTTAAAATCGAGAGTTAACTTCCCAATAGGACTTCCTGTCGAGGCGCGTCTCCTCAAACTTTGCAGACGTTATTAGCTTCATCGAAGCTTTTGCACACTCATTTTTTCTTTTACAGGACTATACTTAGTATAATTTCCATATTCGCATTCATTTACAGCGTAGTGGCGTTCTACGAGTTGCTACACTAAACATTGACTAAAAAAAATCTATACACAGCAAGTACGCCTAAAAATGTGCAACAGGTTCCAGGGAATATTACGTGGTCCTCTTATAATTCTGCTCAATGAATAAAGTTCTTTAGGCAGACGAAATCCCTATGCAAAGACTTTATTTTCAAATGTCAAAAAAGGAATGTTGCAATATAAAATTGGTTGTATGGGGGTTGGGTAATTGTCTTTCAAATGTTGCACATTTTTGGGCACACTTGTTTTTTCACGTAGAAATTTTTTGGCGATGGAAATGTTCTTCTTCTTCTTGTTTGGCACTATAACCATTTGTCAGTCTGAGACGAGAACATAAATCTCCATCGATTGCCTATCTCCTATCCGTTTCTCATATGAATTGTAAACAGGTTTTATTCTTTGATTGGTATTTTCACTGCTTTCATGCGTTTGACTACGTTCATTTCATTTTATATATCGTACAGTTTGACCTTGCAGCCTTCTCATCTTTGTTTGACATTCGTTCTGTTTCTGTGCCATATAAAAGGACGGACATGATTGAGAAAGGGATATACAATTCAATTGCCTACCGAGACCAAAATAGTACTTATTTGCAAGAGATATTCTTCACTTCTAGGTTAACATTATTGGTGGTGATACTGCTGGATCCTGGCTAGAGAAAATCCATTACTACATACTTCAATGATTTGACTTTCAGTGGCGCATAAATCCAGCTTTTTCTCCGACTAAAATTTTTGTGCTACAGACGCGAGATTTCCATACATTATATATATCATTATACTGTAAGGAAAATCTCAAGATTTGAAATTACACAAAAAAATGCCGAAACGAGTGAAATTAATAAGATTGGGTCGTAGATTCGGATCTGTATACAAAGATATTTTCATTTTCATGAAAAAATATTCTAACTTTAACAAGGAAGAAACTAAAAAAAATTAAACCTTTGTATTTTTTTTTAATTTGTATTAAAAATAAAGCTATTAGCGATGAAAATCGATGTATAAATAAACTAGATTTGAATGGTTGAATGAAAATGTGCAATAATTTTTTGTATGAAATGGGGCCAGAAAATAATGTTACTCATACGCCACATCGCACGTGGCAGTACACGAACATACTCGCATACTCTGAAAAGCGCATAGCCGAACCGTTTTCCTACAGTGTTAAACCTTTTGCTTTAATTGCCCTTTCGAATACCAAATTTTTATGTCAGTAGTCGTTAAATATAGATTTATATTTTCCGATCAAATTTAATCGTTATTTTATGATTTTTATTTTTTCGACAGATTTTGGATTAGATCTAATAGTTTTTTTTCGATCTAATCGGATATAAAATCGGAGTCTCCATTATAACGGTTAAAAATGATTGAAAAATAAGAATCCGAAACAAAATAATATGACCAAATAGCGATTAAATTTTACCGGAAAAATAAAAATTTAAATTTGGTTTTATGATTTTTATTTCGACATATTTATGATAGTTATTTTTGGAATTTTTTTCGATAGTTATTTTTCGATCATATTATAAGCGTTATTTTCAAATTAATATTTTTTCTTCATAACGTGAACGTAGTCAAACGCATGAAAAATAAGTGTCCAAAATAACGATTATTTTTATCGAAAAAAAATACAACAGAATAATTCAATTTGACAGGAAAAATACAATTAAAATTTAACGATTATTCTTGATCGCAAAAATAAAAATCAAACAAAAATTACGATTTTGCAAAGATCTAAGAATAAAAAACCTTCATATTTTCGGACCTTGCCTAAAACCACGGAAACCCCTAATATTTTGAGTTTTATGTTTTCATGTTAAACCAGTTTTTCACTTATGTATTTAAATAAATTATTATATTTTATCTATTTTATGGTATCTAAAGTAAAGAATTGATCCGTTTTTCTTCATTGTAGGCTAGCTGGCACTAAACTTAATTAGCTGATTTATTTATTTTTAATATTTTTATTGAGCTTTGTACCACGATTGTTTATTAGGAAAAATTGAAAAAGCAACAAAGTCTAAGCGGTAGAAGTTATAGCACTATTTCGGAATTCGCAGGTTCGATCCCTGCTGAAGTCTAGAAAAAGAAGTCTGATGAGGAGATGTGGTGATCTCCGAAATAGTGCTATAACTTCTACCGCTTAGACTTTGTTGCTTTTTCAATTTTTCCTAATAAACAATCGTGGTACAAAGCTCAATAAAAATATTAAAAATAAAATGTTAACAAGCCACAATAACATTGACAAATACTGATTTATTTATGTTTTTATTTTTTGAAATATTGTTTGTTGCCATTTTCAATTTCTACGCTATGCATTACAATTATAATTCGCATTTTTGTTTTTACTCAATATGTTTTCATCTAAGAATGTTGTATTTATGTATGTGTGTATTACTTTGCCCGCTTAAATATTTGTGTATCGCTTATATGACTAATGGCTAGACAATAGTTTCCCTATTTTTAGCGCTTATCCAAATTTCCATTTTTTTTTGCCCCATTTACGGTTTTTTTTACTATTTTTATTGGTGTACATTCAGAATTCTCAACTATTGCTGATTTTAAGTTTTGCAAATATGTACGCTTATGCTTTCGTGTTGTTTATAATTTGTTGTTTGTAGACATTTACTATATTGCTCATACATTTTGCTGGTGTTTTTTGTTAATTGATTAAATATTGCATACAATTTGTGAAAATTGTTTGGTATTAGCCGTTTTGACAGCGTGGATGTAAAAGAGCTCATTGTCTGAAAATGAATTGAATGTGATTTTATTTGGTCAAAAATTTGATAGATTTGTAAAACTGCTTGTCTTGGGTTGATTTGGTTTTATTGAGTTTTTTTTTTTAATTGAGCATTTGAGATGTTGTTAATTTTTAAATAGTTCCTTTAACTTCCGCTGCTTCTTGCACGCTGACGAATTGCTCATGTTCGTGTTGTTGTTGCTGTTGCCGTTGCTCTTGCTGCTGACTTTTGTGCCTTATAAGGCCGTCGTAAGCATTTTCTGAATGCTGGCTATAACAATTTTGGTATTGTTATGTATAAATTTGAAAAAGTATTAAAATACTTAAAATTGTACAAATGAAACAAATCAGCACGGGCAAAATCACTATGAAACGCAGTGATCTGGAATGCAGATATACGACGTAGTTATAAAGAAATAATATTAATTTTTTTTAATCAATTTAAATCACCTACCTTCTTTGCCCGATGGCTGGATGTCAGAGATTCAAATCTACCTCAGCCGCCTCGAGGTCAATGTGATTCATTGAATTCGCTGTGCTATTGAAAATTTGATTATCTGTTGTGCTATGCTCATTGGTACTACTACCACCATTGCCATTGGGATCGTTGCCACGCTTTGATTTACCAGCGCTGCTGCTGCCTAATAGCCAAGAGAATACTTTGTCCAAATTTCAATATTAATAAAACAGTGCATGATTTGCAGGAGCAAGGTGTGTGTGTATGTATGTATGTGTGTGTGTATTTTGTTGTATGGGTGTGTTAAGGAGCTAAGTATGTCGGGTATGTATGTAGGTTTGTACTTGAGAATTTAGCGTAATGGGTCTTGGTTTTTGGGAGTTGCAGAGTGACGCAAGCTGTTAGATTCAAGCTTGACATTTTATTTTATTTTTTTGATGAAGCAGGGCATGAATTGATATTTTAAAGAAAGAAAACTGGCAAACAAAAGTTAGTAAATAAGTAGAAAAAACTAGCAAAGCTCATAAAAGTAGAACTAAAATATAAGAAAAATGCAATAACATAAAAAAAGTAAAATGCAATAAACTATTAAAATAAAAAAGAAAGCAGAAGAGGCTAATGGTAGAAAATCTGAATAAGGCACGACCTTCATTAATTGATGAAATCTATTTTGTATGAAATTTAACGTGTTAGGAAATATTTCGCGAGTGGGTTGGCTGAAAAAAGCCCAGGCCAGGATATTTTCAATTAAATATTCAAAAATAAAATGTTTTTTTTTTTTAAATTTGACCTCATTTTTTTATTGAATAAAATTTGGAAAAAGAGCTTTTTTTTAGCCGAACGTAGGGGTGATATTTTTGATATTTTTAGTCATATCTTCGGCATTTACAGTCAATAAATTAAAGCTCTCCAAAACAATTAAATTTTTGCTCAGGAAGTATTTTGATTATTTCAGTAGAACTATTTAAAAAAAAATATATTGCCACCGGTAAAGGTAAAAAGGCGAACCCTGGGTTCGGCAATATATATATATTTTTTAAATTGCCTTGCAAAAATACTTTAGACTCAACACTGAACTTTTTTGTTTGCTTGTAAAGTGGTACGGTCTAGTGCCTAGCCACTCTTTATGCAATACCGTTGTGTGCGATGAGGAGTCACATTTTCTCTTTTTCTGTTTTTGAACACTGAAAGTGCCTGTATCACTCAGTGAAACCCTGACACCGCTAGACGCGAGGAGAACATTTTGCGCCCACTAACTCGGGGAAAAAATCGACAGGGCTATGAGGGCCTGTAGGTGGAAAAGCTAGGCTTTTCGAAAGTAAGACCTTATATTAACGACGATGCACCCTGTTTTCACTTTTGGACTACAATTCTTGGTTTACTGTTTTGGATCTGTTGATCTTGAGCTGGTTGGCTGGCAGGCTAATAATGTATCAGGAAGGTGCGGACGAGAGCCTCCGAGTAATTTTTAAAAATCATTTTTATTTTTTATTCTATGTTTTATGTATTTTCTGTCCTCGCAGCTCACTTACTTAGTCCGCAATACTGCCGTCTGTCAGAATACAATTCTAATCAGATTAATTGCGCCGTTAATCTGGACCAATGTTGCCGTCTGTCTATACTATAAAAAAAATGTGGTTGAACGTTAAATTGACATATAAAACTTGTTTTGGTTTTCAAGGAAGGGTGTGAATTATTTTTAAAGTTTCAATATGATCATATTGATCCCTATAGGGATGGAGTCTCTTTGATAATAAAAAAAAAACATCAGGCAACGAATTTAAAATGTATACAAAAAATATGGTATAATAAATAGGAAATGTAGTGAGTAACAAAGTAGGTTCACAAGGCATCTATGTATGTAAGGATGTACATTTGTAGGCAGAGCAGTTTCGAGTTGATTGGAAAATGTGCTTTCATTTACAGCTGAGATTTCTGTTTTGTACATTTTTTTTTCTGTGTGTTATTGGAGGCCCTTTTTTGATGACTGAACTATGTAAGTAGGTATGTATGTGGCATATGGCAAATACAAACCCAAGCTACACGAGTATGCAAGTAGAAAAATAAAAAACTGTAGATATAACCTGCAAATGCAGTATGAAATTATATATGTAGATAATAAAAAATATAATTTCATATATTTTTTCGATAATTAAAACTATTGTGCGTGCTTGTTGAAAGCCTGTTATACATACATATATACAGACGTAAATCACTGCTAAAAACACATATGTGCATATGTATATATATTTAAAAAATTTAATACTTTTTAACCGACTTCAAAAAAAGAAGGAGGAAGGTTATCAATTCGTCGAAATGTTTTTATATTTTTTTATGTATGTCACTGGATAACTTTGGACCACTTGAACCGTTTTCGATTATTATTGTTTTTTACGGAAAGATGGTACCTCAAGGATGGTCCCATAATAATTTGGTTTAGTCCCGATCCTTGTGTCATGAAGAAATTTGTTTTTACATGAGCATTGAAGTCGGTTGTATTTTTGCTTAGAAAGTACTTGTTATTTGTTGTTGTTTTTTGTTAAATTCTGCACACTTTTTACTGACACAGCATTTCACTTTAGTTGTTTGCCAAAAGTCAATTTCCAGTTGTTGTTGTCGTCGTCGACGTTGTCGTCGTTTGTTAATTGCTCAGTCAAGTAAAATTGTTGTTGTCTGAAACATTGCTTGAACACTTACCCCCAGTAAAGCAGAGGCAACCTTCATCATCACTACGCGAATCGCGCCGTGAATTCTTTAGCTCTTTATTCATTTCATTTATGCAGCGTTGATAGTAATCATAATCCTTTAAATACCACACTGGTGGCCAACGATGTTCACGCAGGTATTCTTGATTATCCTGATGCAGTGCTTTGAGGCCTTTGAGCGAGAATTTACAAATAATATTGTAATTGACACACAGATATGACATACACCATTCGGCCAATTGGTGAGCGTTGTGTAGCTAAAAACGGGAAGGGAGGAGAGTGCAGAGTTAGAAAATGTCAATAAGAAAAATTTCGATAAAGCTATGTAGCGTAGTCACTTTTAGGCTGAATCCACACCGAAGACGACAAAACGTTTGGTGGTGGCGTATAGAGCAAGAGTATATAACCAACTTCTTATTATTCAATCCATACCAAATGAGTCGTAACCAAAATGTATTTAAAAAAGTGTGATTGAATTTGACATTGCTCTCATAAGAACCATCCTTTCAAGTCAAATTGAAGTGTATGAATTTAGAATCGTTTGTTTACAAAGACGCGCTGAGTTGTCAATCACAGCTTGGTCGTAACACGACAAAAATGGGATAGAAAAAATGTTTTCTTGTCGGTCGTCAAAAAAAAAAACATTTTGTCGTCTTCGGTGTGGGTTTAGCCTTAACCACTGGATTTTTCCACCCTCAATGGGCTCTTGGAAAATTTTATACTCGATTTTTTTTTTGTAGAACATTTAACCATCTAATTACCCTTTCAATGGGCTTTATTGAGCTTCATCTTTGGACGCACAGTGCTTTGATCCCAAATAAATAGTGGGCAAAAATATAGTTTTTGGGCGAATTTTGTGACTAAATTTGAGGTCTTTGAGCTCAAGAATGATATAATTTTTAATAGCTATCTATTCCCTTTATTTGTTTTTTCTATACAAATATCATGTTCTTATTTAAATTTATGCAAATAAAAGATTTCTACAAAATATGGGTTTCTTACAAAAAGAATACCCAACTGTATCCTAAAAGACAACTACAAAATTACAATTTATTTAGAATTACAAAATTACAATTTTAAGAATTTAGTAAGTTAAGATGTTGACTTTCAATATCATCTTCTACTTTTTACAGTTTTAAATCATCTACAGTGAAATCGTGATTATTAGAAGTAGGCTTTCGTTTTGATATCAAAAAAGGATTTGAAAAAAAATGTACGTTATTGAATCCCAAAAAAAAAAAAGAATTACCTACTCTTCAACAAATTACCAAACTTATATCTTGTAAGAAACTAATTATACATACATGTATACAGCTATGTATTTCAGGAGGCGGAATCTCTAAAACATATCGTTTGGTCAGATATTTTAAACGAAGAACTATTCGCCGCTTTATTCTGCTGTTTTTCTACGCAAAAACTGCTCGTTTAATTTTAGTCTTTGTGGACAAATTTTCGCGCTGTGCAAATATTTGTAATGAAGTTGTAGCCGTTGCCTACTACAGATTAAAATGTAGCAACGTTGCCACATTTCTTTAATGAGGCCATTAATATGTAGCTGGTCTACTGAGTAATTCAAAATCAAATCCTAACTCAATCTTAGTTTTTCTTCTCACCTTCACTGGCTCCAGCAGCTTTAGACAATGATCGACCGTTTCATTTGTTTCATTCTGCGAAATCATTGTTAAGTCTTCAATTACACGACATTCCACCAGATTCAATAGTCGTGGCAAACATAAACGATTAGCCAATTCTAGAAGGTTTAAGCATTTATCTGCGGAAATTGGAGGTATTTCATCTGTGTACAAATAGCAGAGCAACTTATGAAATGTATAAATGGTGACACCGGGAAAGACGATCTGGAAAAAGGATAATTAATATTTTTTTACCTTCAACTTCTTTTGATGTGTTTTTTGTTTTTTTTTTTTTTTACATGCACCCATACTCACCACACTTGAGTGCGCCTCACGAAAGTCGCCAGCCAACATGGCGCGCATAACATCACAGCGTGCAACTAAAATGGCACGATGGGCCTTCATTTGACCATCGTCCAACTCGAAAGTGACATCGCTGAAGCAACCATCGCCAATGCAATGTTTCTCCATATTCTCTTTAATGCTCTAATTACATTAATAAAAAGAGAACAGTTTGATATTTTATCGACATAAAAGCGCTTCAAATACATATGTATACATACAAAGCATAAATGTTGATTGGGTTCATCGTTTAGACTGGCTAAAAGTGTTTGTGGCTTGGAAAGTAATAAAGTCAATTGAGGCAGTTCTAAGAAATCAGCAGCTTGTTTAATTTCCTGCAAAGCATAAATGGAAAATAATTAAGTTCAACAACAACAACAACAAAAACAACAACAATTATTCATTCATGCTCGCCATATACATATGTACACACACCTGCAAATTGTGAAATTCCCTTTCAATTGTGCCGGTATAGATGAATTGCAGACACTGTTGCAGCGCTGGCGGTGTTATCAGCTTGGTTAATGTGACAATTGTTTGTGTTACATTAATGCCACGCGTATTTTCCATCTGTATTAAGCGTATATTTTGGAAAATGGGATGATGCAGGTCCTTATAGAGATCACTGGGCCTTTTGGTTTCGATTAGCGGTAAGGCCTGATAGCTTGAGCGACGCTTCAGCTGTTCCCACATTCTGTGGCGAAAAGAGATAAGAAGGTTTTAATAGGAACGTTAACTGGATAAAAATCTGTTCAATTCACTTCAACAGTTCCACTCGATTTCGCGCCTTTGAATTGGCTCGTAAAAAGAGATGTTTTGTCTTTGATTCGGGGATCGAAAAAAAAACGTCATGTAGATTTGTGTTAATTTTATTTAGTAAGATTCCAATAACATATACACAAAGACATGTGCATACAGAATTGTCTATGTCATTCGCTGTAAGCAATAAAAAGATCGTTTTTGATCAAAAAATTTGAGTTTAGATTGAATAATCGAATATCTTCATATTTAACAAGAGCAAAAACTAAAGAAGTGGGGACAAAGTTGTCTATTAAAAATTGGGCGAATGAACTTTATAAAAAAAGGTTTGGTTTTCGGTTTGGATCAAACATTTGTGCAAAATTTCCGTTCCGGTCGTTAATTAGTCGAAAATAGCGATTAAGTCGGCTCAAAACCGGTTCGGATCAAAACCAGTCCACGTCCCTGGCTTTTAGTACATTCTCAGAACTCAATTATTTGGCTACCGCAATACTCTTACCTCTGTGTTCGCGATTCATGCCTTATCAAGCACTCAGTATCATCATTGAAATCCGCTGTGGTAGCTTCGCCGAAGGTAGAACTCACCTGTAGGAATAAATTTGTTATTATTTTCATTAAGTGTGTATAAACATCAAATAACAGAAATCCGAGTACTTCGATTTAACTGTCCCTAGTCTTGGAACTGTTCCCAGTCTACAAACTGCTCCTTCCAAAACACCAACGTATTTATTAACTATTATTCCATAAAAAATGCTTAAGCACATAGGATAAACTGTTCGCACCCTAACAGAACACCACAATGTTAGTACAAACGCTGAGTAAACTATTCCTAATTTTTCGAACTGCTTTCATCCTCACTCAGCAATACCATACGTGACACGTAAAGTTAAAAGGGACCTAGGGTCAGAAAAAATCGGTTTTCACTTTTTCATCGACTCTTATAGTAAACGGGCCACTCTTTCCAATGCAATAAACCGAAGCTTTCTAGCTGCATTAGTTTTTTCACAATTTCACTTCAAAGTTAGGTACTTTCACACAAAAAAATCAAATCTGACCAACTATTCTGAAATTAAACAAATTCGCTTGAAAGTCGTTACTCGGGGGTTTTCGAACATCGGATTCGTAATCACTGACCTCGTTTTCGGTGTCAACGACATTTTTGAGTTTCACATGAATCCGAACAAATTTTAAATTTCTTCCGCCATATTGGATCCGCCATTGCGAATTTTGGAAAACAAACATCGGATTCGTAATCACCGACCCCGAAAACCCCCAAGTAACGAGTTTCAATCGATTAAAACGTTCAGAAGCATCAAAATCAACTTGGTAAACTTCAAAGTCGTTTTTCTCGAAATCTTTTTTTCTGAGCGACCTATGCTAAGGGACCTATGCTTTTAACTTTACGTCTCACATATACTGTATTTAACATGTTTTTCGCACCAAATAAAGCCTATTTAATTTGCGAGCTGCTTCTGTTGTTGCGTAAAGCAAAAAAAAATAAAAATTGTTCTTCACACCAAAATAAAACTGCTGCCGTTTTCGCAAACTACTCCTTCTCTTACAAATGAATCTAATTAAAAAATAGCAAAAAGAAAAATAAAAATTTAATACTCTTTTACACTCACCATACTCGATTCACTACTGCTCCTACCACCCATATCCGTTAATTCCGTATTCAATAGCCTATAGAAGACGTTCGACGCAGCCGCCAACATAAACCGATGTACCGGAAATTTACTTGTACCCACCACCAGTATGAGATCCGTGTGTGTTTGTGAAATTAACATGTTATACATGTCTTGTCTGTAATTGCCCACCACAACGGTGACTTCTGGTGGTGGCGGTTTGGGCGGTCGGAATGGTGCCTGCAGCAACGGTTTTTGTACTTTTTTCAAATTTGTCATCCAGAAACGTTGCTGTCGGCGCGCAATCAACGCCGAACGTATGGCATTTTCGAATACTTCATTCACACCGAAGTAGGTGAAGACGCTGGTCTCGTAATAGGCGACGCCCAGCTCCTTGGCAACGGCACGTGCCTCATCGGGCATGACGAGGTCACTTTTCAGCGCAGCACTGTTATATGTTAACGAGAAGTTTGCGAAGATATTGTAAATAAATAGTTTAGTTATAACATTTCCTATAAAATATTTATTAATTTACCGCACGAAGGTGCTTCGCTCGCCAAAGTACGATAAATATGTTTCGTCGCGATACATATAACGTAAATCATTTTTACATCCTACCAATATGACGGGTACGTCTGGACAGAAACGGCGTATTTCCGGATACCACATAGCCTTACAATTGCGTAACGATATTGGGCTGGCAATGGAGAAGCATAGCAGTACGACATCTGACCTGTAGTGGGAAAGTGAAGTGAAGTGTGTGAACAGTTTTTATTGTGCCAAAATTAAAAAAAAAATACTCTTTTCATGTTAGTCAACTACTTACCGTCCATAAGCGAATCTTCGGTCCTTGTCATGATCACCAAATGTATCCCAGAGTCGTAACGAGACATTTACACCATCCACTACCTCCCAGGAGCGCTCAAGCACCTATAGCAGCATAAACGGTGTTTAAAACGTTGTCCATAATCAATAACTTATTAAATTTACTGTGATTGGGCAAGCTATAATTTGAGGCTTTCAATTTATTTAGGTAAATGGTAGGCCTAGGATTTCTTTGAAATACTATATTTCTCCTTCATAATTCCCTATTCCTAAAGAAAATTATTCAACTATTCTTTCCACCTGCCTATCTAGCGTTGGTCAAGCAAAGAGCAATACAATTGAATTCGTCCATATTCGAACCATTTAGAATTAGGAATTTTGAGTGTAATTGAGAGCTACGTCTGAGGAAGGTACTGTCTAAGGGTGGTATGACCCAGGCGAATGGACTTAAAGTGGCGATGAATTACTGGTGACATTCCTAGAAGCTCGCTTACATACTAGATGGAGGAGACAGCGGGCCATAAGACCAGCGCATGACTGAGCAAATTATTTGTCAACTGCATCCGGCTGAACTATGTATACCTGTACCAATGTCATGGACGACGGCACGGGTAGCCTCTTATCAAAAGCAGCCAGCAGCTGACACTTGCATCCAAAGGTTTATAGCTCTATTAGCCGTTCGTTTCCTATGAAGGCTCCTGAGAGGTTAATAGATTCGCATACCAAATGCAAAGGAGTGCCGTACTATCGCCATTAGCCTGGCGACACGCAGGAAAACAAGATACTCAAGAAAATGAAAGGAGGTCATGCTAAACTTACAGCCTATGCGTGTCTATCCAAGACTTAACCCACTCATGACCCAAGTACTTTTAAATCTAGTTAGACCTTTTAGCATAAATACGGGAAAAACAGACCTAGTACTCTTTACTAGGAAATATGTATAAGATTCCGGTCAACGTACAGTAGAGTGCGAAGAACGCCGCGGCTGCGGCTTAAGAAAAATTGGAATATGGGGCTCATGTGTAATATATAGACTGATTTTATTGAATTCTCATAATAAAATTTTAAAGCTTAAATGCATACATTGACGAGCAAAAGTATTGATACAGAGAATTTTTCGCTATGTATGCACACTTTTTTATTATAATTTGTGCAAAACTCAGGAAAATTAAATAAATTAGCATAGTAATGTGCAACTTTCTAATTTAATTGCCAAAAAACAATGCGATTTTTTAGCAACTTCAAAGTTGCACTTTGTCATACTAAAATTTAATGGGCTATAAAACTGCATACATAGAAAATCTGATTAGAAAGTAGCAAAGTAGTATGCAAATTTATGGAATTTTCCTGAGATTTTGCATAAAGTTAAGAGAATTTATTTTTATGTTCTTTGTTGTAGTAAGAACCATATTTTTATAAAAATTCAGTGAGAGGAAATTAGACTAAAAAAACTTTTCCAGGTCCATGAACTGTCTCAAATGCTTAGTAACGATCAACTATTCTCAGTTTGGCGAACTGTTCGCAGGCGTTATGTGTGCACGTATAATTTGGTAATTTGGAAGACATTTTAAATATACAAATGTACTTTTTGAACCTTTTATGGGCTATAAAAACTGTTCCCACTTTCAAAAACCTATTCTAGAGGATTCCAGTGAATTCAAGGTATGGGTTCGAGTGGCATTATAATTGTTCCCAGTTTAAAAAAATTTTTGAATAAGTTATATTTTATTATATTGTAGTAATTTAAATAAATTAATTAATTTACAAAGGCTCTAACCAACACTTTTTTGGAAACTGCATTTTTCACAGATTTGGGTAGGATATATTAAAATACACCTCCAATAAAAATTTTTAAGATTCTGTAACCAGTTAGCAATAATTTTCGAATCGTTATCGCAGTTTTTCACGTAAAAATATTCATATTATGCGTCCAAAAAGTGCGATGGAGATCCGAAAATTGTCGCTAACTGGCTACAGAATCTCCCCCTGATCAAGAAATTATTTTACTTATATACATACATGTTACAATCGCGATTCTAAAAGTTTAATAAAAAATATATTTATAATATATAGCTAATATTTCGGTCTACTTTTTTTAAACTAAAATAAGAAGGTACATTTTTTTTTTTAAATTTCTATGAATTTATGTACTTACATCCTTATAGATTCGATACTGATCGATGGCCCACACTGTAGGCACATGTGTCGATAGCAGCTGTGACAGCGAAACATGCTTATTGCATGCGCGTGCGCAAATTAAACGTGTCTTCCCCACGGCAGTATCACCGACCAAAACACACTTTACTAATTCCTGATGAGGCTGCTCGTTATCCATGTTGCCATTGCACGTTTAACGACGAACTGTGGACAAAGAAGCTGGCTAATGGCAATAAATGCCAAAGTTTTTGCGATATGAAGGTCACAAAAAAGCGAGTGAGTTGAAAGGGTAGCCGCGAATGCTACTTACTACAAGTATTTGCGTAGGCAAATGAGTTAGACAGCCAGCACTAGGCGCGCACGCACACTATTTAAACGTGTACTCGTCCAAGTAGAATACGGCTATGAATAGATGAATTGATGGCTGAATTGAATTGATTGAAGCGCTTCTAAGTCGGATGTTGTTGCTTTTGTCGTTGGCTGAGTAGTTATTTGACTACTATTTATAACAGATTTTTCTCCTTTTTTTTGTATTTCTGTTTTTATTTTTATTTTGTAATTGCAGGCAGGCTAATAATGGGCAGGCAGGATGACGACGACGAACGTACGTATGTACGTATGCACTTACAAAGTAGTTGAGTAATTAGCAAAGCTGCAATGAGAACAAGAAAAATATGATTAAATTCAATAGTTGTGACAAGTAGCATAGGCGGCAAAGGCAGAGTTAAAAGAATGAAATGTATGCAAATATCGTCATCATTAGTGAAATAAATGCCCGCATTAGTGGAATTATGCGCTCGCTCGCTTGTACATATGTATGTAATATCTAGCGGCCAGGCGACTACCGCCAGGCACCACATGACGTATGAGTAACAATTTAGTGGCAATAAAAAATTTTATAATATGCAATCATACGCCCAGCTGAAAGTCATACATACATATGTACATATGTATGTATCCAATGAAGGTAAATGAGTGTGGAAATTTCTGCGAATTGTTATAGCGTGCAGCGTGTGTGATGAGTACCCAGTAAACAATTAGGTTTGATATACATTTGAGAATGATTTGAAATCAAAGCCTTTCTCAAATGTCAAACGTTTGAAAATGATTTGATATTGATTTGAAAATTGCAGCTTTCTCAATAAAAAGGGGAGTTTTGATCTCCATTTGAGAATATGGTTAACTCTCCAATCAATTTCAAAGGTTATTTATCAATTGTACTTCAAATGTGGAAATAGAATTTATTATAGGAAATGTATATTTCATAATTATTTTTTCTTCGCGATGTACATATGTATGTTCATAACAAAAAAAAAACAATTAAGATAAAGTAATTTATAATAAATTCGTCTTGAAGGGCTGCAGCTTCTTCAATCCACGAAAACATCAAATCCACTATTTGTGTGCTTTCTCTTTGACAATTTTTTTTCTATTCATTGTTTTTTTTTTCAATTGACCTTAATTTTATTCTTACAATATTTGATTTAACTGCGAATTTTTATATCGTTTGATACTTGACATCTTTCTTCAAATCAACCTCACATGAATTTGAAATGTAGAATTTAAAGGCCATTTTCAATTTGAGAATCATTTGAGAAAAAAAAATTTGATATCTAATTGAGAAATACATTTTTCTCAAACGTTTGAAACCGTGTTTGCTGGGTAGGTGCACACTGTGTGTGTGTGTGTGTGGCGATGAGTTCTGATGCTGAGAGTACATATGTATGTACGTAAGTAGGTGGGTGGTTGCACCCACAGATTTGTATGAGCGTGTGATTTATTAAATTTCATTAAATTGTTTGAGGTAAAAACAACACAAAAACCAATTTTTTAAGTTTTTTTTTAATTTTTTTTTTAGTTTTTTTCGCCACGGGTATGCATTTATTGCTTTTTCAACCTACAAAACACACTTGGCAGTTGCCGTTTACAGGCGGTTTTATGGGCCAAACAAAAAACAAAATCCCTAAAATAGTTAAAAACTAAAAATGCAAGCGAACACACGAAATGTTAATAACCACCCCTCCCGCGCAGGAAATTTGGGGCGGCGCGTCAGCTATGTAAGTGTTTTGCTAGTCAATTTTATAGGTTTTTGTTTTGTATTGTACTTGTTTATCGGGTGTTTAATTTGATGTCTGACAGCCGAAATTCCGCTTACGTATGGCGCCAGTCAGTGCCATTACATTTCTTTGCTCCACACGCTGCTATTGTTTTTTTTTTGTTTCTACAAAGTTTGGTCGGTTTTTGATTTTTTTGTTGTTCTTCGATTGTTTAAATATGTTTGAAGTTAAGTAGTGATATTTGTCGGGGATTGTTTTAAAAATCGTGCGCAAAAAGTGATGTTTGTTGCCAAAGAGCGTAGAGACTTCGTAATACTAAATTATACCCGGCGCATGTTTCAGTGAATTTGTGTAGAAAAAATAATCATTTTACAAGCGACTGACTACGTTGCCTAATCTCGAAATTTTTAATTCAGAAGTATAGACCACAACTCAGGCATCAGTTGATGGTGGATGAAATAAAGACCGCATCAATTAAGGCAGCCGTCTTATTTCATCGGGGATCTGAATTCGTTTTGCGAATGAACTAAGACCGCAATGACTAACAGGGCAATTCTGGCTAAGATAGTAAAAAGTCTTTCGTAAGACAAATGAAAGACAGATGGCAGTATAGTTCGAAAGACTTTTGTTATTCTAGCACAAAAGTCTTAGACAAAAAGCACTCTCATTCACCACTCGCGGAGAAAAGCTATTTTGAGCAATGGCCGTGTGAACAAAGCAAAGGCGTGCTATTCGAGAGATCCGAGTACGAGACCTCGGGCAGCAGAATTATTTTCCCTTTTTTAATTTGAATTTTATTTATTTCATTTTAGCAACAAGTTTATGGACTTCTTTCTTTCTCAATTTAAATTTATTCTAATTTCTAAATTTTATTGTTTTAAAAGAATATTTTTTTTTAATTTTATTTAATTTTCAGGAATTTTAATTTACTATTTTGTACTTTATTTCCTTTAAATTGCTAAACTTTATTGTTTAAGAATGAAAAATATATATTTTTTTATTTCATTTATTTTTTGGAAATACATATATTTATTTATTCTTGTTTTATTTTTTTATCTATGTATATACTTATTTCTAAAAGGCATTTTTCTGCTACCAGACGATATCTCCTTTAATATTTTATAAAATTTATTGAATAATGTCTTATTTTAAAAGGGAAAAGCTCGCGTACATGCGAAAAATAGTCACGTTGTTCAAATTTAGTTATTTATTAAAAAAAAAAATGAAACGAATATTGAGCATTGGATTTTTTAAATAGTGTGTCACAGTCAAATATTTTTTTTCTTCAACTTATGTAACTAAGCTCGTACTTTGGTAACATGTTTTTTATTCACTCTAAATTGTATGGCATCTCAATGAATGACTGATTACTTATTCCATCATAAATTTTTATATGAGAATTGAAGTTGATTTAGTTTTTTTTTTTACATAAAAATTACTTGTTTACATACAGCAAATAATGCTTTCATGCTTTAGGAGACTTTCAATTACTTATTAATAATACAAATAAACGAAACTAAATATAAGCAAATTCTAAGTAAATTAACTACCTTGTGCCAAGTCGTTCACTAACTCATACGCCCTATCTTCCATTCATTCATTCAATTGTTCATTCACTCATTCAATTCAACCAATGACACGTGATATTTACTCAGACGTCAGAGATACGTAGGCACATACATACATACATATGTATAAAGACTTTGTATGTATAAGCAAAACTATAAAGTTACAAAAACAATATTTGAAGAATATTATACCATCTATAGAAATTTATGTATGTATATTAAGGCGTACCAGGATAAAGGGTTTAGCGTGTGTCAGTTTTATTTGAATACTTATGTCGGGAAAAAATTTTGAATGCAATTTTTTTTTTTTTTGGCACCGCTAAAAGCCGCTGAATCGCATTGTCGAGAAAAAATTTTGGGTATAAAATTTTTTTTTAGGCATCCGCTAAAAACCGCTAAATCGCGTTTTTTGCTATAACTTTCTTATTTGACATCCGATTTTTAAAATCTTTATGTCGCCGACAAAGTCTCGGTTATGAATAAAATTTGCCATTAAATAATTTTAGTTTAAAATAAACCTTTTCGATTTATTACTTCTAAATTGATAAACTTAGGTATTTTGTTACCATAGAAAAAATTAAAAAAAAAACACGTTTGAGCTCAGAAAGTCTATATTAACTCTCCCCTATAAATGAGGTTTTTCGTAGTTTCCAAGCTAATTATTTGTAAACCAGCGTTATTTAGAACTTACGAATCAAATTTGAAAAATGCTGCACTGGGTCCGAAAAGACTTAAACAAATGGGTGTCTTTGGAGCTTAATATTGTTGAATATTTGCGGTGACTATGAACTTATATGAATAATTTCAATAATATGTAAAATTTATCAGATTGCAAATTGCAGATTGCAAATCCTGGTAGTGACCTCTAAAAATTATTTTAAAATTTTCAAGTTTTCTTTAATGCCTTTACTAGGCTTTAAGTCGACACGACAAGAGATAAACCAATTATGTCAATTCGTGCAATTTTGTCTAATTTACGACCCACGCAATGAGGCTGGTTATTTGTTATACATATAAACACCAAAACATCTGCATGGGAAGAAAAAATACATGAAGTGTTTACTTGTTAAATGCTTAAGTAAACAAAAATTTTTGCAAATTTAAAAATACTAGTGTTCGCCCAGCAGTTGAAATTCAACCACTAAAATAAAGAGGGTAAGGGTAAGTTGAGCGGAGTTGCGTTGAGTTAAGATGAAGTGAGTTGAAGCGAAGTAAGTTTAGCTAAGTTGGAGGGCTTTTCAACTTACCATACATACCATGCCATGCTTGCTAACACCGGCACAGTTGGAGGCACCAAAGTCTGTAGGCGCGAGCAATCTTGGCCACTAATCAGATGATCAATTTCTTGTATATGTTGCGCCTAACCGCATTGCAGTTCGAAACGAGATTTTTCTGGCAAATATAGTCATTGATTAGGTAAAACTTCCAGTCATTCCAATACGCAGAAACGACTGAGTCTAAAGACTAAACACGTAGATGGTAGATGGAGATTTGCTCCACACTTACAGTGGATAACATGACATTTAATAATTTCGAAAAAAAAACAACGGTAACCTAAAAGCCTTTCAATCCTAGACTTCCATGGATTTTATTCAGAATTCATTGCGCAGCGGCGTGAATGCAGCTTTGAGAAAAATTTACCCCTTGTCATGCCAACGATTCGCCACTCACCAGGCAGCCATCATAGCATACTATTAAGAAAATTATTATTTCTATATTTGCTTTACATATTTCGCTTTTGTTTTCATTAAAATGAACATTGTTGCTGCATTTTTCTTTTATTTCTTTTTTTTTGTTAGTATACTATACATACATATTTAAATTATAGTGTATTTTATTTTATAGCTTTTATTTATTT